GAGGGGCACGGCAGAGGGAAACTGTTCAAGGTGTGGGAGGTGGAAGGCAGCCTGTAGCAAGCAGCCCACAGCCAGCTTGCCTTTCCCCTACAGTCCTTCGCAATGGTGACTCCCATACCCAGGACCAGACTTCCATTGTCCACACTCACATTTATGCTAAGCCAACTTAGTTACCACACATCTCTGATTCCAGTATCACACCCTAGATCCAGCCACCTCCAAAAAGTCCTACCTATGAGGCTTTGGAGGCATCTAATTACAAGCCCCAACATACACTTTATGTGATTTCTAATTGGGCTTTCCAGCAGTCAACTTCAAAAGAGGTACTCAGGAAGAAATAGCTCAATGTACATGAAACAAAAGTGGGTCTGCACCTTGGGAAGAACGATATGTCAAAGACTAAGACCAAATAAGACCAGGGTCTGTAGGGATACACTCATTTGTCTGATATAAAACCCCAACTGAAAACACCAATAATAGGTACTATAATTAACAACCCAAGCTAAATTGGCTTCCTCTCCTGGCATAATTTATTATTCGCCTTGAAATTTTATTTTCTACATATTCTTTAAGATAAAACATTGTTCTTGAGCCACATGAAAATGCATTGGATAATATGGAAAATAAATATGGAAAAGTCTTTCTTTGGGAACTGACCTTTGGTTTCCAAATTTGAAAGCCCTTAATTTACGAATCAGCAGACCAGTGGAGAGGTGGGAGTCAGTGCTGGTTGCAAAAATGTCTAGATGGTTTTCCTGTCTGTCTTTTAGAAAGATTATGTGTGGTCTTTGTATCTTTTCAGAAAATATGTAGACATTTAACAGAACTGGAAAGATCACATTCATGAAAGAATTATTTTTCTCTTTGAACAATGACATAAGAAATTTTATTTTTATATGAAATCTTTTATGCCAGAATCAAACTTCTGTCTCAGTTTATATTTGTTGATATTATTTGTATCTAGTTTATGAAGAAGAAAAGAGGAAATACAGTGCTGAGGGGAAGAGTGTTGCCTTCTGCCTGCTTGCTGTGACTACTGAAGCCTGTAGCCAACTGCTTTAGCTGCTGACTCCCCAGGAATAGCCCCTGCTTCCAGCCAGAGGAAGCCCGCTTACTATGTCAGTGGCAAGAACTTGTTCATGTGGGAGTGCAATGTTTCCTTGGAAAAGAATGCTCCCCATCCTGGATGTCTGGGAAGGCTGGGGTTCTTGCCATAGCTAAAGTCTGATGCTGCCTGATGGGTAACTTTAGTCCCACATGGAAGCTAGCTGCCAGGTTCCATAACCTTCATGGAGAATCAAACCAAGAAAAGACTAACTTGGAAATAATATGCAGAGGAGAGACTCCATATTTTTCTTTTGAATAAAATGAAGAGCCAGTTCAGGTGACTATAGAGGAGAAAGCAGGAGGACCCTGGGCACAGGGCCAGTCTTCTCTCCTAACACTGCCAGCACCTGTGGAATTTGTGATGGGAAGGAACACTGTAAAAGCTGCTAGTAGTGGGGTTTTGGGGGGGATGGGTGGGAGGGGGGCTCATGAGAGAGGAACATAGAGATTAAATATCCTCCTCTTGCACAAGACTCTTGCAGCCCTGAGACCTTATTGTAAGCCCTACTTTTCTGCTCAGAAAAAGGGATAAGTCCCATTCCAGTTGATGGTAGCCTCTCTCCACTTGGTTCTGATGGCCATCTCCACTGGCGAACATCGTCTTCCTGGTCCGTGTTTATCTTCATTCTGGGCCCTTTCCCAGTGATGGGCATGTGTATCTGAGGAAGGAACATGAGATACTTACACTCAAGCCTGGTTCATCACTCTTCAGGAAGCCACTACTGAAGGACAACAGCGCTCAAGGGCAAGAGTTGAGCTCTGCGCACTGTGGTCCTAGACCTGGCTCAGCGAAGGGAGATCCCAGCAGATGCTGTGCGGAAGGGCCTTGTCTAAAGGAGTCAGAACCTGGTTGACTTGTACTGGGATGTGAATACTAATAAATCATCTAATGCATCTTACATACCTTGGAGGACCACGTGCTGTCACAAGATGATGCCAGGAAAAACAAGAACAGGGAACGCTCCCACTTCTCAAGGCTCCTAAGAATACATTTGCATTTTTGAGTGCAGTATGTAGCATTCTAGTGGGATAATTGAGCATAGAGCTCAAGGCCCAGGTTTGCCTCATGTGAGCCAGGTGGCCTTTGAGAAGGTACTCAACAACTACCCTTTTTTTTTTAATTTTATGTGGTTATGTTTTATTTTCCAAATAATACTGATTAAAAATATTTACACATCTACTTTTAAATCCAGTTTAGCACTCTTATTTG